GCCTGCCTCTGCCTCCCAAGTGCTGGGATTAAAGGCGTGTGCCACCACTCCCGGTTCATATATTCTTTTAAAGTGTTCAATTTCACAAGAGAATTTCAATTTTAACTAATACAAATGATTCCAATAGGATCACCAATAAGATTTTTCAGTTTCCTCAGCAAAAAATTTAAAAATGGAGAAGCATGATCAATAAATCATAATCTATGAATTTCATAATGAAACCACCACACAGAAATTCTTTATAACAAAACTAACAAGCAAGCAAGCAACCCTCCATTTCCATACAGGCCAGCATCCATTCTTGCTAGTCTGAAGACCTAGCTCAGTTCCTCCTTAGTATGACCCCTTCTTCCTCTCCTCCTGGTGCTTAGAGTCAGTCCCCAGAGTAGTGGTGTCAGGACAATTGCCACTGACTAAAGAGGAAAGGGGATTTTCCCAGCCAAGCACCTGACTTACTTCTGCACCACCCAGCCACTGGAGTTCCTCTTTTGCCATTATTTCCTCTATCAGTTCTCCAAAACGGTTCCATTCTCATGGGCTCCACCTTCATCAAGATCTAAACCTCCCTTCTAGATATCTCATACACTGTTTTGGCCTAATATTTCTGAGTCTCTTATGGTCCTTTCCAAATTCATTGTCAGGCCAAGACCCTTCACCTGTTCTAGAAAGTCATGCCCAGTCCATGCTCCCAAGCTTGGCTTTCAACACTCCATTATGGAAATTTTCAAAAGCACTCAAGGACATGTAGAAAGTGAATACCATGTATTCATCATTCAGCTTCAAAAGTCACTGGGGTGAGGAAATGGCTTAGTGGGTAAAGGGCTTGCTACGTAAACAAGAGGACCTAAGTTCAGATCCCCAGCACCCATGTAAAAAGTTGAGTGTGATTGTGCATCCGTAATCCCTGCACTTAAGGGTTTTAGATGGGCAGGTTCTGGGGACTTGCTGGTCATCCAGTCTAGACAAAAATGTGAGCTACAGATTTAGTGAGTGGCCCTGTCTCAAAGTATAAAATGGAAAATGAGAGAGGAAGACACCTGATGTTGAACTCTGGTCTCCATACGTGTGCACATAGGAAAGTGCATCCACAAACATAACGTGTGTGTGGCACAAATCCATCAAATTTATTATGCTTTGTTTTGTCTCTACCCCTCTCCAACTCTTGGTTTTAATTTCATTTCATTTTTTCTGGAATATTTGAAAGCAAATCATAGACATATTATTTCACTTGTAAATATTTTAGGATATAGTTCTAATCTAAAAAAATCAGAACTTTCCAATCTATATGTTACTATTTTCACATATCCCACATTAATATATATCCAACGGTTATACAAACCCTTATATAAGACCCAGTCCATGTCTAATTTGTCCAGGTTGTCTGAAAACATTTCTTTAACACAGATGGTATGTTCAAATTAGGTGTAAGCATTGATTTGGCTGATGTATCTTTTATGTCTTTTTTTTTTGACAGATAAATTTTTATTGAGTTTTTGTACATTTCATATACTACATCTTAATCAAATTTAGCTCCCCTCCCCTTTTCTGCCATTCATAGCCCCCCACCAGATTTCAAACATTCTGTCATACATGTTAGGCCCTATCAAGTGAATCATTTTTGTCTTTTTAATCGTTAACAGTCCCTCTTCTCCCTTTTTTCATGCCAATGTATTTTAGTTAGTTACATATTTGGTGATATGTAACTCAGGATTGGATCCAGGGTCCCACGTTTCCTAGACAAGCGCTTTATCACCAAGCTACATTTTCAGCTCCCTGTATGCATTTATATATTAAGGAAACTGGTTCATTTGTGCTATAGAATTTTCTGCATTCTGGATCTGGTTGAGTGCATTTTTGTGGAACTGCTTAAATGTGCATCCATTCCCTATGCTTTCTGTCAATTTCTACTTGTATTTCGAGGTTTGGTTAATTTCCATTTGCCTCTTGTTTCTACTGCTCACCCTTCTCAATCTTTCGTATTTTCTCTTGTC